GTGGGAGAGAACAAACCAGATCCCAGTGGAGGAAGAAATCAGGAAGAAGCGCTGGAAGTGGATAGGACACACATTGAGGAAAGCACCCAACTGTGTCACAAGACAAGCCCTCACATGGAATCCTGAAGGTCAAAGGAAAAGAGGAAGACCAAAGAACACATTACGCCGGGAAATGGAGATAGACATGAGAAAAATGAACAAGAATTGGATGGAACTAGAAAAGAAGGCCCAGGATAGAGTGGGTTGGAGAATGCTGGTCAGCGGCCTATGCTCCATTGGGAGTAACAGGCGTAAGTAAGTAAGTAAGTAATGGGAAGAGTACAATCTTACATCAAACCAAGAAAGTCAAATATAGGAATTACTCAGAAGAAAATATCCGAAATCTGAAAAACATGTTTCATACGACTAACTGGGAATCATTGACAGATGACTCACTGTAAATCACTTCTGATATTATCATTTGTTACCTTACCACTGAAACCATTTTTGTAAGTATTGATCGACTTACATCTTCACAACTAAAACGAATACGGAGGGTGAAAGAAAGAATGTACAAGGAGAAAAACTCAAATAAAGTCCGTAAGCTAAATGGTCTGATAAACCTAGAGATTAGACGTCTCAACTCTATGTTTACTCAAAAACTCTTGTCTTGCAAAAACTCTCCAAGTATTTGAAAACTCTTTAAAGGACTTACAGGTGACAGACAGATTAGGAGCGATAACCGACTGTGTTTATGACTTAAATAAGTCTTTTGTACGTCAGTCATCTCATGTAATGCTCCCTTTATCCACAGATTTAAAGAAGAGCTGTGTTCCTAGTTTCACTGAAACTGATGTCCAAAGATGTCTCCAGTCAATTAATTCATCCCGATGTTTAGGACCTGATGGTATCCCAAACCTCATTTTTAAAAAATGTGCTGACGTCCTATGTTATCCATTCACGAGTATCTTTAACAGATCCTCCTCATCTAGTCTCATACCGAAAATGTGGAGAAAGATAAAGATAATCCCTGTACCCAAGAAAGTATCTGGGTGATAATGTGAAATTTAGACCTATTGCAATAACTTCACCCTTCCTCAAAACAATGGAAAAACTTTTAATACTTCCACTTCAGCCTGCGATAAAAGAGCATATTGATCCGTATCAGTTTGCTTACAGATGCTAAAGAAGCACCTTAGATGCCGTTGCTGTTCTGCATCACAGTATAGTGTTCAACTTAGAAAAGAGTAAGAATTATGTTCGATGCGCTTTTTTGGACTATACTTCAGCATTTGACTCTATACCAAGACAACGTCTAATTAACAAGTTAATCAGCGTCAACACTAACAGCTGGATAACCAACTGGCTATGTTCCTACCTCTCTGAAAGGGAACAGTACACTGTGTTTGGAGGAAAGTGTTCAGAGTCTCTACTGTCTCATGAAGGTGTACCATAAGGAGCTGTTCTTTCACCTCTTCTTTTCTCTTTTTTTCTGCATGATCTGCCACCTTCCACAGAAAACACTTTTGTGAAATATGCGGATGATTTCACTGTATGTACGCCTATCTCTTCCTCTTTACATCCTAAAGAAATGAATGAGTTTTTGCCTCGTATTGATTGTTGGTCTGTTGGTAATGGTCTCATAATTAATCCGTCTAAATGTCAAGCTGTTAACTTTAGCATGAGACATGAACGGCATCTAAACACCATTTTGAGATCCCATAATGCTTGTGCCATTGGTAAACACAGTGTCGAAGGTAAATTATCTTGATGTTACCTTTTCCTCTGATCTGTCTTGGTCTTCCCACGTTTTATTGTTATCGAAGAAGGTTTTCCGTCTGACTTACAACCTAAAAAGATTGCATGCTCTTGGGATTACTCGTCATTTACTCTTACAATTTGTAAATTCTTGCATATTACCAATTATTCTTTACTGTTCCCGGACTTTTGAGAAAATACTTTGCTGTATTGCGGAGAGCGCTGAAGGCAGTTGGCATGATGTGTGGTGAATCTGTAGTGACTCACCTTTATCACGAGAACACGATTGGATTGATGAAAACAATTATTATTATTATAACTAATTGTACCTGAGCTTGTTTAATGTGCTCTTTGTTTAACTGTGCTAAAAAGCATCCATTATTCACACACTATGATCGTGACTTCGCGCGAATTCGGTTACGTTCTGTAACCAAGCTTGTATCCTGCCACGATCTCGGTATCCTTTCGATACCACGAGATCGCAAGCAAATATATCTTGACTTGGTCCATTAACTGCCTTCTGATATTTGGCTTCCGGGGGATTTTCGGAGTCATTTGGCACGTGTTTCTTGGTAGCGGTGTTCATAGTTAATCTCTACTCGACGCCACACTACAAATCTTTCGAGGCCATAATTAATGTGGTTGTGGATAGACATCTAAAGTCATGCAAACTCCTGGCAGACGTTATTTTATCAGATACTAACCATGTCCTTCACTCTTATCTTTCTCCTTGTATATCTTCTGGTAGAACGAGACGTAATTACATCAAAATCCATGCACACAAGCAAAAGTATAAAAGTTCTATAATACCCTACCTAGCAAATATACTCTGTGACGAACAGGTTGTTAGAGTTGGCCTAATCAATAACCTGCATTCTTAACATGTCTGCAATTTGAAAAGTTGTACAGTTTTTCAGGTTTTTTAAACCTTTTTGCTCCTTTTTTTGTCCTCGTTATTTTTTTGCGTAAGTAACTTGTTGAAATATCTTGTGCTGGGAATTCTACATTGTACCAAAATATAATATTGAATAAAGCCATTAATAATAATAATATAATCGAAGTATGCCAACCCAATCAAATTAGTATTCAGAAACAAAGATCCTCGAAGATTTTTTTACAGGCTATAGAAATTTCGTCATACCCACTCGTGATCTAGTGTTCATGCGTGACCAAGCACCTTGAGCCAAGTGCGTCTAGTAAAACTAATTAGGTCAGCATCAAGTGTCAAAGACTCACGGGACTATTTATTATCGCTACAAACCTAATACTGACGACCAACTTGTGTATCCAGTAATTTCTAATCAACCATCTGTAAGCACTAACACGAAAATCTGTTTCAATATGTGGTCGAAACATCGAATTTCCAGCGTGTCTTTCATGGCTACACTTGTGTTGAACCAACCATTGTCTATTATCTGTACGAAATCCATGAATCTGAAATCATTACCACGTGACAAAAACACTTTTACATGTCATAACAACGTCTATTTTCGGCCTCAAATAACTCGTGAGTCAGTCTTTTCATTATGCGTGTTGAGAGCGTACCTCAATTTTTTTCGATTTTGCTGACCTTGTCTATTTATCTTTAAAAAATAAATTCTTTTTTTAAGTTTTGGATAGCTAATGGGGAAGTTGAGTAAACACCTTATAGCCGAACAAGGCATAGCAAAATCGTACTTCTCCGAAATGGTGTTGGGTAGCTTGCTAGCTTCACTTCCACACATATTGTCGTCTCATTATCTTACCTTGGATTTTCCTACTATGTCTGATTGCTATGTGAAGGGTTCGCGCAACAAATCATATGAGGTTACTTGTGAACAAAAGATAAATGCTACCGAGATGAAACGAAACATAACATTCATGGACTATCTCTGAATATTACTTGAGCAGTGGTCAACGTTAATAGTACTAGTAAGAAGGTTGAACAGTGAACGAGTTAGTAATTCTCTATCAAACTGTGGAAAACTAGCTGACATGTTTTTGTTCAACAAACTGATAGAACCAATATTCCCACAGAAGTCAGTTCTAGGAGGAAGCTGATGCAACAATTAAAGTTGAGTGGTTAAAAGTTGACCGAAAACAGAGTAACGTCAAAACATTACAGCTTATGTATTTATTTACTTCTTTATGTTGGGTAGGTATCACAGTTGTTATTAGCATATATTTGATACTAAATACTGCGTTTTTTGAAGATAACCTCGTGCTCCAGGTGTTCTGTTTTACGATTTAAATAAAGACACACTGCAACCACTAGTATGGTTTCTTCAAAATATAAAACAAGGAGTTACTACCAACAATAGAATTTTACATTCAGTATCACGGAATATTTCAGTTTGGAAGGGATAAAGTGTAGGTGGCCTGTAATAGTCCTGATAATGGTGGACTCTTAGCTGGTCTTTATTTGGAAAGCGTCACCATATGGAGCTTCATCACGTGTTGAGGTAATGAATTTCATTCGCTGATAATAAGATGGGAAAGACATGTGATTTGTTTTGGGCTTGAGAAAAATTTTGGAGTTTTCTCTCTGTCTTAAAAAACTCATTGCTGGCCAGAGGTAACATACGGGTGACAGATATGGAAGGGTGGGGTTTTGAAATCTAACTGGACGCTAATCGAATAATCCAGCAGGCAGATCAGTGAGTGCTGAAAAGTTTACTGATCATTGACCAGGTTAAGGACAACCAATGAGCGTCAATAAATTGCACGTTATATATAGGGGCATGGTTCTACCTTATACCCCTCTTAACTGATAATACCAATATATGTTGTCAACTGAGAGTATTTGTTCTACACAGTCCTCTGAATATCACTAGAAAGTAATCCAGATTGAGTGCAAACCGCGATATGTGACTCTGGTGTGTGCTGGAAGGTCACACCATTTCCGTCCGACCCGAGCGAATGGCGATCATCTTGATAGATTAACTACATAAATTATCTACAAATGCGATCAGCTCCTTAGCATCTTTAATGAGTACGGTTAGCCTGTAGAGGCCAGTTAATGAGCCAGGGACATTTTTAAAAAAATTATACAAACATATGACTCGGGCGGTTTAAGTGGTTGTAGCGACCGAACAACCAATATTCGGATGGAACAACACAGTGAGCAACCACAGAAGTATGTGGTTCTTGAACCTTTGATTACTTATCTGAAATTGCACTTAAAACTCACAGTGCCTTGTCAAGAACGGAATAATTCTGACTACTCACATTTCGTCCACAACATACAATACTAAAATCTAAATGTGAAACTCAACACGAATATTGGACTTGGAATCGGACGTGGGAAATTCTTTGGTTGGGCTACCAACGCCCTTGGTTCATGCTTTGTTATTTAGGTCGTGGTCACTTTTTTAATACACCGAATTTACGGCCTTACCAATCTCTCTTGCTCTCTTACTATAGTTTGTTCAGACAAGGTTTATGTAAGTCTACCTTTAGGAAAAATGGAAAAACGGACCCAACCCAAATGGTTCACTCCAGTTCAAAATGCTCAGGACGGACAGTTACCTAATCTATACCTTTATAACAGCCTTACGTCACGAAAGGTAAAGCTTGACTTTTTATTCCGTATTCCCCAGGACCTATTTATCCCGCAAGATGGAAGGCATGTTAAGTGGTACACCTGCGGTCCCACCGTGTATGATGTATCACATCTGGGCCATGCAAGGTTCTGATTCCGATTCATATTTACTAATGCTCTGAAGGACCTACGTCGCGTTTGACGTTATTCGTCGTGTGTTGGTTGATTATTTTAATTTTAAGGTCACTTACGTCTTAAATATTACTGATATCGATGACAAGGTACAAAAAATTCTAACCAGCACCTATGTGCCTCTGCAGATTATTAAGCGTGCTCGACAAAATCACTTGATCAGTGATTATCAGCTCAAAGATCCCGATCTAGCCACAGTTGTCGGTGATATTGCCAAAGGAATTCAGGTATAGTTTTACCATATTCCACATTTTTCGTAAAGATCAGTGTGTTTGCCGAATGCCTCTTAACTTTTTGTTAAGTTTACGCTAGTGAAAACTTAACCACTATATTTGATATTGCCATTAATAAATAAACTTGGTTTAGTATAAACATAAGTGAGTCAGAATCCCATGTTATTCGAGACAAGCCGTCTAGTTGGTCAATGTAAACCAAGTTTTTATTATTATTCGAAGCCACACTGACTTAAGAAGAGTTGCATATATTGCATAGCAAGGCCCTATACGAACAATGGGAGTTATCGAAGTTAAAGTCCTTACTAGTCCAACCTTCGGTGAGACTATAATTTATGGTCGACCTTTGAGCAACGCTCGAGTGACCCTGAGTGTCCACATAATAACTAGGACCAAATGAAGGCGATAAACCAGTGTGAGGAGCTAGTATTACGATATACAGTTGATGGTTAAGGTTAGGAATTAGATTTAATCAGTACATGATTAATCTTTACGAAATCCGACTTGTTAATCTCAGAGTTGAGCACCTACCTAGTTTTTCGTTCGGTTCATCAACACTGGCACTGACAGTAGTGTGATGCTTCAAACTTGTTAAACTCTTCTTTCTTTGATATATTGGTGAGTTATCCCTCTACTCGGTTGGTTCTTATTCTTCTCCCCAAATGTGTCTGAATAGAACACAGAACATCTTCGCAGCTGCCTCTATATGACTTTAGTGCTTCAGCTGTTATTCTGTCTGGTCCAATGATGCCAGTTTCTTCTGTCGGTGGTGAGGTTTCTTATTTTTGATTCCTGACCTCTGTAACCACTAATACTGCTACAACCTCTTTTACTCTGGAGTTTTTCTTCATAACTTCATCATACTGGGCTAACGGGATGTTGTTTCTCGAAAGAATGTGCTCATTTGTCAGGTTGTACGTTGCATATGACTGACTGGTCGGCTTTCCTGTTGTAGTTGATAGATTTCCTACATATTCTCACTTGTTAGCTCTGATGCTCTTCACTCGTTTGTTTGCTTCTGCATATTCAGCCTGCTCTTTGGCTTCCTCTGCTCTTGTTCAGTTGTTTTTAACTACCATTTTGTTTTTCCTTTCTTGAATCCTGCCCGGGTAATCGATAGAGATTCCCTCGATGTTAGTACTTCTTGAGGCTGAGAACTTGGGGTTTTGAGGTTGCTGATTTTGATTTTTTCCAGTTATTCCTCATCGTTATCTGGAAGAAGAAATACTTTATATATTTCTATGCTGTTTGTACAGTGCTTGTTTAGCTTCAGTTTCCTCTTGGCTACCACCACGTGGTGATCTGACGCTATGTCAACTCCTCCCATTGTTCTTACATTTTGCGTGAACTTTCTGAATGTTTTATTGATGCAGATGTGATCGATCTGATTTTCCGAAGTGTAGTCCAATGAAAGCATTTTAGGTTTGTGTATGGGTTTTGGGGGAAAACGGTCGTATCTATGACCATGTTGTTGAAAGTTTATAGACCCATCGATTTTTCGTCACTCTTGTTCCTTCCTCGTAGTCCATGTGGTCCTATGATGAGTTGATTTTCGATATTGTCGATCCTGACGTTAGCGTTTGTGTCTCCGATGAGAATGATCAAGTGTTTTCATGATCATTTGTCTACGATGAATCCCGGAGTCTAATGAAACTGATTTTCATGATATGCGGTGGTATGAATGGTGGGCGCGTAGTTGTGAACGACATTTGTTGTAATAGTTTTCTTTGTTTTTAAGGATTCCTTGATGATTCTGGATCCATGAGTTCGCCATCGTGTAGGGGATTCTTGTAATTTTTATAGAGTATCGCTGCAAGTCACTGTGTCTGTGTAGCATCGTCATTTGTGGATAATTTCTTCAAGACGTGTTTGACCAAATATCACTTATTGTTATACCTAGGTTGGCTTTGTGTATACCAATGTCTTCTTTGTTTTGAAGGATTCTTTGATGATTCTGGATCCATGAGTTCGCCATCGTGTAGGGGATTCTTGTACTTTTTTATAGAGTATCGCTGCAAGTCACTGTGTCTGTGTAGCATCGTCATTTGTGGATAATTTCTTCAAGACGTGTTTGACCAAATATCAAATACCAGCAATCTACATATCTCATACACCCAAATATCACTTATTGTTATACCTAGATTGGCTTTGTGTATACCAATGTCATCAATTATCACTTCACGTCGAGTTTTGTAGCGATCGCTGTTGAGCACTATCGTAGACTTAATGATAGGCAGATGTCCATTAGAATAAATTATAAAGATTTCGAAACCTAGAATCAAACCTCAAAGCACTCCACAAGGGTAATTTGGAATTTATTCTTATTTTCTGTGGACAGCCAACCAGAAGGCTTTTGACCCACTTTAGAAAGGACCTGGAAAATCGGAAGGACACCATTATACTGTACCTTATCAAATGCTCTATTGATGTTCACTGAGAGTGTCTACTGATCTTCTGTTGCCGCAAGACTTTGTGTATCTCTCCCTTGCTAATAGCGATTTTATTGTGATGGATAAACGTTTGTTAACCATACTCTTAATCATTTGTTTTAACGCTATGTTTGATGGAACATCAGGAACCTATACGTTGTGTACTTCGTTTTACTAACCAAACTTGTGCACTTTGTATCCGGCTTTTGATGAGGATTTTCGTTAACTTACTTATGGTTCATTGAAATTTCTGGGGTGTAAATGTGTAATATTAGAAACTATATAATTTAAACTAATTTCTCTATTGTTTTAGGTATTTTATTTTGTTAACTTGCTAGTGTAAATATACCTAAGACTGGTTTCATGTGTCTTACCTTCTTGTGTTTGTTTTTTGCAATACTTATATTTTTCGTATTCTGTTTCATTTCGTTTTCAGAAAATTAAGTCCAAAATTCAGTTTGAGACGGATTCGGATAAAAAAGCATACCTAAACAGTGAAGTAGATCGTCTGATATCTCTCCTATCCACTGTGCCACTTGATGAAGAGGATCCAATTAACTACTTGATACTGAACGCTCGTGATGCTATTGCTGATACCTTGGACTCAGCCTACGGCGCTTCCATCAGTGACCACCAAATATTCGAGGTGTTAGCTAGACATTTTGAAAAGGAATATCTCGTTGACATGGAGTCTTTAAACGTATGTTTATATATGGTTTAATATTATCCACGCTCACCCTGTTTTTTCCATTTTTCGTTCTTATTATATAGAGGAACATTTGTACTACTTACATTCCACAAATGTTAATAGGACACTAATTGTACTGTCTTAAGTGGAGTAGATATTCTTCAAACATCAGGAATCACTATATATATTGTTACCTATAATGTATCAGCTATCCATGTAACTAAAACTGTTCAACGATCTTTTGTTTTATACCACTAGTTAGTCCGTTTTGTTCTCTGATCTCTTGTCTTTTGTTGACGTCAGAAAATTTATCAGTTCCAGATCTAGTTCATTGTTTTCCTTCGATTTTGTCCACAAAACTAAACATTCGCTTTCTTTGCTTTGTGTTGTTTTTGCATATTGTCGCTTTTAATTTTCTAATATTCAGTCTTATTTACTGTTATTCATTATTAGCGTAAATTATAATACCCCTGTAGATAATTATTTCTTGTAGTTACGAAATATGTATATGTGGATATGCTAGATTGCTGTTTAGTCTGAGGGTGAAAAGCTTCCTAGATAAATTGCGGTCAATGTTCAGTCGTGTTTAATTTGATTAAATGGTACTGCAACACTTATGAAAAACCATCTGTTTTCTCTAGAACTCAGTTCTAACCTTGTTTTGTGACAGACTATATTAAAGACCACGAATCATTGTCGGTTTTCAGTTTGTAAACACATATATACTAATGCGGTTTATTCATTTTCAGTGATGTCCATATTTATTTCTCTTCATCATGCACCTATTGTTATTATTATTATTATTGCTCACCGAAAAATTCCAAAAATTCTCTCTCTAATTCCTTTTTCTTGCAGATCATTCCTCCATCAGTACTTGTTCGGGTTACAGAGTATATAGATGCAATAATAAAATATGTGAAACAAATTATAGATAATGGCTTTGCGTAAGTGTTTTTGTAGAAAGCGAAGTCTTATTAACCAGTCTTTTTCTATAGTTCGTCTAAAAAACACTGAATAGTTTTTTAGGCGTTTTATTCTTGATTTTGTAGTCTCTGTAAAAAAGGTTTTTATTATTACTGTGTGTACATGGAATATTTAACTTTTCCATAGGAGTTTTTCACTTTTATTTAGACTAAATAAAAATATATCTTTCAAGTTATCTTCATAAATTCACTGCTGTGAAATAGCTATATATTATGTTATTTATTAAAAAAAAGATGAACTACTTTCAAATAATCCGAATATCCAGCTATAAATTTATGTGGTGAAACTATAATTAATGAACGGCTTTTGAGTAGTACTGAAGTAACCTTCAGAAGATTCACCTATTCACTAGGGTCAAAAGTAGGTTTTAAACTATTGTAAAAGATTAGTATTGGAATTTGAAGTTAGACACTAGGGTTAGGAATTAGAGTTGATTTTTCACCATGAACTGACTTCAGCGGTAATGTCAAAGTACTATTTATCCATATGGTTGACTGAGTGTCGCGCCGAAATCCAAGATTTATTCTTAATCTGATTGGTCCATTCGTAAACTATAGTCTCACCATTCGTGTTCATAGAAACTTCCAGCAATCGAAATCAACAGTCTGGTCAGAGTCTATTCAGGGAAATAATCTAAATTATCAAATATGAATCGAATCAAAGACAATTCCGCATTCATCTATGAATCTAAATACTCGGGATCGATTATGTGTGATGGATTGGATTGCAAAAATTTATTGTTAAATGATTGAGGGATGATATCATATTGATCTCTTGTCTGTTTTGTACTTCGGGCTCTATAGCCATCGATAACATGTTGCTTATTTATGTTGTTTGAATGTGCTTTCAACTACTGTTAACTACTAATATATCAACGTATACTTTAACAAAGTCTGTTCATCTCTATCTGCATTTAATATTATGATAATTGGGATGACTAGTATAATTCTATTCATAGCTGGAATCCTATTTATAATCACTGGATTTCCATATAATATACATAACACTACGTACCACAATTTAAACATAACGTATATCAAGTGACTCAGATTTATACAACCGAATAAGATCAACATTTGAACTGTAATGGTTGGAGAAATAGTCCAGTGCAAAGATTTCTTTAATTTCAAATAGTTCAGTACATAAATTCGGATCAGATTGACGACGAAAGCGTTAGTGAAACTACTTGATTTTAATCGCTGAAAAATTTTCATATATAATCTCATATTTCATTGTTGGTCAGTCGTTAGATTTTTTAAGGCTATTTGTTTATAATACTGTCGAATGTGTCTATAAACCAGATTAAGATGTTTTTTTCTTGTTATTGTCAGATATGTTGCTCCATCTGGATCGGTGTATTTTGATACAAATCGATTTGCAAGTTCTCCTATGCATTTTTATGCTAAGCTTGTGCCAACTGCATATGGGGATACTAATCAACTGGAATCTGGAGAAGGTGAACTGTGTATAACAGGAGAGAAAAAGTCACCGAATGATTTCGCTCTATGGAAAGCATCCAAACCTGGAGAACCTTTTTGGTCTAGTCCTTGGGGTAAAGGCAGACCTGGATGGCACATAGAATGTTCAGTTATGGCTAGCGATATTCTTGGGGATACTCTTGATATACATAGTGGTGGGGTCGATCTGAAATTCCCACACCATGATAATGAACTGGCACAGTCTGAAGTAAATCTCAGATGCACTTGCAATATTATCAACTTGTTAGTGTGACTAGTTATAGTAGGGTTTATAATATTACAGAAAAAAGGTGTGTCACAATAAGGGATCAAGAAGTGCTCCAATCACAGCTAGATGACATCACAGTCTCAGTGGGAACACAACTAAGATAAAGTCTGTTCAGTTAGAGATCTTGAGATCTCATTGAACATGAGAAATATGATAATAAACCACAGCAGGAAAGCCACTGACTTCTATTATGAATAGTATCGAAAGTCTCAGGCAACCGAGTTGCACGATGTTTAATACTTCGTGACTCAGGAGGTTACGACAGGCGTACATATTCTAATCCAACACAACCATCCTTAATTCTAAGAAACGATGTCATAAACTAAACATCTGTTCCCTCTTTTTGCCTCGTGACAGTGTAGATGAATAATAAATCACTGAGATGATTGAAAATGGACTTACCTATATGGTTGTTTCTCTCTGTATGATGCTCGTTACTAATTATTGAATGATTAATGTTTATCATGTTTTCTTCTGATGCCTCTCTACAGCATTTGTTTTGATGTGCTTGTGACGTCATGCTTAAGTTTTATGTTACTAAGTTATATCTACTTTCAAATTGAGTGCTCATTAATGATCTGAGAGGAACAATATATTTTTTATCATGTCTTATGACGCTATAATTGTTCATATATCATCCAATCTAGTTTTCGTAATTTTCTAATTTTTTTTCTACTTTAGGCCTACTTTGGACATTCCCACTGGGTTAATTATTTCCTTCATTCTGGTCATTTAACTATATCTGGTTGTAAAATGTCAAAATCTTTAAAAAATTTCATAACTATTCGTGATGCTCTTAAAACTCATTCATCTCGACAAATTCGTTTGATATTTCTTTTACATTCCTGGCGTGATACTATGGATTATAGTGTTGATACATTAGCAGAAGCTGTTGGTTTTGAGAAACAGTTAATTGTAAGTAGGTTTTAATTTTCAAGTTGAATGACTTTCTGTTATAACTGTGACTGCGTGACTGCAGATTAGAGCGAAGCGTATTATCGATCGAACCAAAGACGCGTAAAACACGTAAGAACGACCTAGAGTCCCGATTGGTCCTGCTTCCCTGTCTAGCCCAGCTAGTTGAGTCCAGAACGCAAGTCTCAGCCTCTGAGAGACGAATCATTATATTTCAAGCATACTGAGTTTATATACCAATCAAACCGACCACAACATATCAATAAAATATGAAACAACATTGTACAAGAATTAGCCAGATGTGGCTATGAATGAGGGAGGTAGCGATTAACAAACGGAATAATTCATGAATGGTAAATCGTATAATAATACTTCATCGGTCAAAATAAAGCTCATAATAAGAGGGACATGAATATGAACAGTTTAGTTATATAAAAATTATAAGATAAAAATGTACTCATAATGCTGGTTCATAAATTGATCTCAAAAATTACCATTCATTTACTCTTATCGAGATACAACATTTTCTTTTCTTTGAATAAATAATTTCTAAAATTCAAAACTGGTTTATTGAGATATTTTGTACTTTAATCTTTATTTCTATGGTTGTTTTATGTAAATTCACTGCTAGCCACCATCCATCATCTCTGCTTATAATGCTTGTGACTTAAGGCAATATTGAAATAATCCGTACAGTATTCACTTATGCCAACATGAAAGTTAGCAATTACAGTCCTAAATATCAATTGGAATATTCAAACAACCAATACAAAAATGAATTTTTGCAAATAATTGTTTAGGTTTATGGAGAATACAAAGATACTAGAAATATTCATTCGACCGATGTATATCTTGTATGGTATTGGCTTAGTTTACACAAATTGTTTTAGGTCATTTCGAGCACCATGTATGATAGTTTATACTTGATGATAATTTCATTTGTACCTATTTACTAGTCGTTTTATATGTACATAATTAAATGAAACACATGTACTGGACAAATATTAGTGTACTTGGCTTTGAACAGCATTCGAACTGTGTGGACTACTCATTTGTAGTTTGTTTCAAACCTCGAGGATTACTAGCTTAAAGTCAAACGTCCTAATCACCGGGTCACCTATCTACTTTGGCGTTGTTTAAATTACCGTTATGACTGGTCCCAACCCTAACACAACGGGCATCAGACCTGATGAGATTCAATTTTACGGATTTTTCATTTTACTGTTTCCTGTTGTAAGTTGTAACGTTTTAGATTTGTTAATTACTTCGTAGTGTTATTCTATAGACTCATTTGGAGCTGTTATTTGTTTTAGGATTTTTTGTACACCTGTTCAAATATTCAGTTTCTGGCGAAGCAATCTTTGTCGAATAAACACGATTTGGAAGAAACTGAAAACGATGACTTTCAACAGACTCTTGTGGATATACAACATAAAGTATATGATGCATTATGTGGTAATTGGAAATATAAATTGTGTTCATAGATCTTTATTTATTATAAACGCTATAGGCAAATTTTACCTGTCGCGGTAATTGTGTTCTCCTACTTAGATGTTGGACATTTATTTTGTATTGACAGTCATAGAAACTTAAAATAAATAATTATTCTTTGAGTTTGATTTCCAAGCTAGATAAGAAAAGTCATATGTAGCAGATTAAATCAAGGTAATAAAGTGGTGGCACAGCGGTTAAGCTGTTTAATTCTCATCCACTAAGTCATGTATTCGAACCCCGTTCCACTTGCTTCGGTTAGGGCAACTGAATAGTATCATTACCCTCTACATTTAGAGTGTGGCTCATAGTCAAGTACGCAATATTTACCTGATAAATGAGTTACCAGATAGTTAATAAACTGTTTCATATTTAACTGTGTCACCTATGAGTAACATTTTTCATCTTTTCTCCACGTTGGTGATGAAAATATTCCATGAAGAGGAGAGGCTTCGCTTATTATAATTTGTATATTTTTTATTATCTCAAGTCAAGTGATTAATAACTTAGTAATGAACTTTTCCTTTTCATTAAAATTCTTGTAAATTTGTAATTCCTGAGTCATAATAACCCACAAAGATATTGATATGATGTTATTGAAAAATCTTTTCACAAATACACGCTACAAATACAAATGCACTCCAGGTAGTTGTTATGGATTAACTTGATTCCGTCAACATTCTCTAGTTTATTGGACATCTGTAGATTATACTCACTTTCGAAGTACAATGATTTCGTAATACTGCCGAAAGCTATCTTCAACTCTTCGAGCATGTTATATCTGGGAGGAAGGGTGTTCTAAACATTTTTGTGCTGTTTGTCTAGTTGTACAGTGCTTGTCTAGCTTCAGTTTCCTCTTGGCTACCACCACGTGGTGATCTGACGCTATGTCAACTCCTCCCATTGTTCCTACATTTTGCGTGAACCTTCTGAATGTTTTATTGATGCAGATGTGATCGATCTGATTTTCCGAAGTGTAGTTCAATGAAAGCTTTTTAGCTTTGTGTATGAGTTTGGGGGGAAAATGGTCGTATCTATGACCATGTTGTTGAAAGTTTATAGACCCATCGATTTTTCGTCACTCTTGTTCCTTCCTCGTAGTCCATGTGGTCCTATGATGAGTTGATTTTCGATATTGTCGATCCTGACGTTAGCGTTTGTGTCTCTGATCAGAATGATCAAGTGTTTTCATGGTCATTTGTCTACAATGAATCCCAGAATCTAATGAAACTGATTTTCATGATATGCGGTGGTATGAATGGTGGGCGCGTAGTTGTGAACGACATTTGTTGTAATAGTTTTCTTTGTTTTTAAGGATTCCTTGATGATTCTGGATCCATGAGTTCGCCATCGTGTAGGGGATTCTTGTACTTTTTTATAGAGTATCGCTGCAAGTCACTGTGTCTGTGTAGCATCGTCATTTGTGGATAATTTCTTCAAGACGTGTTTGACCAAATATCAAATATCAGCAATCTACATATCTCATACACCCAAATATCACTTATTGTTATACCTAGATTGGCTTTGTGTATACCAATGTCGTCTTCTTTGTTTCGAAGGATTCTTTGATGATTCTGGATCCATGAGTTCGCCATCGTGTAGGGGATTCTTGTACTTCTTTGTAGAGCAACGTTGCAATTCGTTGTGTGTGTATAGGAGCATTTTCCTTTTCATCATTAGAATACAATAACCGCTCTTCTGAATTTCGTCTCCTTTTTGCAGATTGTGTCCAATGTGTTTCATCTGTTCCAAGCAACGTTTAGGTTATGTCTTCGCATTTCTGTCGCTGTTTGAGTGATCCTTCCGGTCTCACATTGTCCAGACATCCCATGCATCTATATTAATTGGTACTGTGGTTGTCGAGTTTGGCACCGACCTCGTGATGTGCGATGAATTTTGGCCGTCATCATGAGGTGTCTTAATTCATATATTAAGGCTCTCCAATTCTCAGGGGAGAGTTTAAAGAGATTTTTCTGGCTAATGCTTTTTAGTGGGGTGCTCATTTGGGGGATGGGGCTACTAACCATACTCCTAATCTTCTTCCTCCACCCAGGCTTAGGATTGAGTGTTACATATCCGCGATCTAGTTAATTAGGAAGTACGGTTTCTCATGGATTCTGTTTGTAATTTTCCACATACTTTTAGCTATAATCTATCCCTTCCACTACAGTTATAAAAATTAACCTTATGATACGATGCCCAAAAATTAAGTCTTACAGTCAAGCCTTAACGGATTGGAAAATGAATAACCTACAAGCTAATTTCGTTCAATCATCTAAGACATTTGATCATATCTATTTTGTGTTTATATTTTGCACGTAACCATGTTGTTTTGTTACGTAACGAAAACTTATCCGTCCAACTATTGGGCTTTGGTTTCGAAATATTTGGGAACCTGAGACAATAATACGGCCTCGTGAGTAGCCATTACTTGCTTACGTTATATCATTGCGTTCATCTATCGATTAGCATTCCAACAATCGGATATTTCGTTTCATCAAATCATCACAGCAAACCTTCTCTATAACAACCCAATTATTTCAAGGGGAATTCATGAAAATCGTGTAATTGTATCTGAATCATAAATGCTCGTTTCAGCTTGAAGTATTATTAAGATGTATACCAACTTCGTAAAAAACAGTAGTTCTTAATCCTTTTTTTTGCTAGATTCTTGTGATACTCGATCAGTTCTGGATTGTATTAAAGTTTTAATGTCTGAAGCTGACTCAAGAATATTCAGTCGTATTGAACCAAACAAGTGTATTTCCAAACTGGCTGATGATGCTTTCGCTACAGGTCGTTTTATTCTTCAATTGCTGCGTATTTTTGGAGTTGCTGATCACACTGCTGTTGCTGCTGGTTCTCCGGTACCATCTGGAGCTATCATAGCCGGTGGTAAAGTTCCAGAACATCATGAAAGCATTCCTTTAAGAGAAGCTGATGAAAGTGCATTTGGTTTTCGTAGTTGGCTTTCTCTCGATACGCCAACTGAAGAACGTCTTATATCCAGTGTACATAAATCGTTGGAAGCTTGTTCCATTTTTATTCAAGCTATTATTCATGAAGGTTAGTTTTATTACTTTATATTATAACGAAGAAATGATTAACCATACGATACGAGATAATACTACCCGTACGAATCAGTTAGATTTGACCACTAGATTATATTACGCTAACAACTGCGAACTTGGTTATAGAGACAATGGTTTATTCATTTGAAATGCAGTCAACCACGGTTTAATCTAAATAGGAATCTCGAGTGAATCAGAGTTGATATACGATCATCACTTCTATCCTGCTTCGGTTTGGGCACCCGGGCAGTATCACAGCCCTCACATATCAAATGAGATCTGTGTGACGCATATGTATTTGGTGCCTCCTTGTACCAATATCTTTGTGTTAAAATAAATAAACATCACTTCTATTATTAATTACTGTGGTAGATGTCTATCTTGGCTAAATAACCAATTACTTCTCATATCACTTTAATATAAAACATTCAAGTTTTTTCAGTTGGTCAGTAATATTAGAATTATATATTCATCCCAAACTACTGTTATTGACTAAAAATCTACAATTCGTTTCCTAGCCTAACTCAGTTTTCATAAAAAAATAGTTTTCATCACTTTGGCTGTATATAATATTGCTGTGAGTTGGATAGAATACTCTACATAGTGTTGAACATACATTTTCCATGATGTCCCTCATTGGTTTAATCATATTATTTCCAACCAGCAGTTTTACAGTCTTAATCATACTTCATTTAATAAAGTTTATCCGATTGAACAGCATTGTTAGTCCCTAGTTTGTGCACTTAATTTGATGTTAATCATCATTTGGTTGATGAATTTGATTATTTTTCTAGATAGGGGTACCTGAAATCTTGAGAAAATGAATATTCCTCGTATGATTAAACTTATCACCCAGTTTCACAATCTGAGACTACCCGTGAGCTACTTAGGCACTGAAAGTCTTCTAACCGCCTAAAAATAATCTGAGACTAATGACAGAAAAAGACAGTCTGTCTTTACAAACTAGTTATGTGGTATGTTCTTAGTATGTGAGGCCTTTGTTAGCCGTTTTAGTCTATTCATTATTTAAATGGTTACTCCTTGACAAAACCACGCTTCACGTTTCAGCTGAAGCTATATATTTTCGAGATAATGGAAATTTTTAGCACAGGACGAGCACACAACATCTCTGGCATATATATATATATCTTCAGATGTCTATTGCTGTTGGGGTCGCCACATCAGAACTTGTTGTCACCTATTCGCCTCAACTATGGAACGCAGTTATGCCATGTAATTGACGCTTGTTCTCGTTGGTTATTCTATTCTGTAAACTGGAATTCAATTACTGAGGACTGCGATTATGTATATTACTTTTTAATGTATAAAAGAGTTGTTTACTCTCGATCGTTCTTATTCATAGTTAAGAATGAAAAAGTCTCTTTTATTGATTCAATGTTTTAAAAGGTTGTTAATTAAATAACACTAGAAAGGTGATTTTTCGTGAAGCAAATATTTTATATGAATTTCCCAGGTGACACATTTAAGGAGATTGTGAATACTTTCGCCTATGAAGTGCAGAAACAGTATGGAATTGATTTATTCAATGTGCAATCAGATGAAAGGCGTAAGTTTTCAGTTATATGTTCTGGTATTCTAAGTTTATTGTTACGTATGATTATATTGATGCTGTTTTTTATAAGACTTGGGAATTATATCTTTCGGCTTATTGTTAATTAATTAACCATAGTAATATTTATTATTGTGGAATGTGGTGAAGGTACATCCGGCTGGTCGGATGATAGTTTGAAATGCGCGCCCTGGATTCTATTGCTAGCCACCATCCATCTCTGCGTAAAAAGTGCTTGTGGCTTAATGACACACAGGATGCAAATATACCAAGAAGAGATTGATCCACTGGTTATAATAATCACCCGTACCCAAATTAGGTAGTCTTCACTTACATACATGGTTCAGTCCGACAGTCAGTATCCTCATAGACTGATGCCATGTATTGGTTTGGACGCCTCTAGCTTCCAGTTTACTTTTTTACCTGTCTATCATCGCGCGTTGAGGTAATCGGTGAATGGGTATACGTAATACATATCTTTACCATTTCAGTCGATAAAGCTTCACTACTTTATCAATCGATTTGCCATCCTTACCTAGTGCTCTGTGTATAACTTGAGGATTGCTAACTTCATGTTCCTAAAAGACACTAACGCTAGTTTGAATACACCTGTAATAGCATATCAGTTACAAGTGTTTAAGACCCTCTAATCAGTGTAAATATTTTCTGTCTGTACATTATTATTGTTTAATCTAAGTCATCATCGACGCATTCATCACATATGTCGATACCGCAAAATTAGTAATATCAAAGCTAAATTGGTAGATAGTTGAAATCTATCACTGTATCAATTTATTAGTTTTCATTAAATAATGAGCTTATAATTACCAAATGTTTCTTTCACTGATACATTTTAGTAGTGAAAAACTGTATCCATAGCTGTCTTCGAAGCATTGCTCGTATATCCTGAGACCACCGAGTAAGTAATGCAGTTGTTAGGAAACGAGTACTATACAAGGATGACAAGTCAATTGGTGAAGTAGTGAAACTTCATCAGTTGAGATGGCTGGGACATGTATTACGTATGCACAACCACCGACTGCTCCGGTGTGAGATGTTTTCTGGTGTACTACGTCGTAAGAAAGCTAAGGGCGGTCAGACTAAAACATGGCACAAGTCCATGAAGTCACTGACAAGTGGACTGAGCCATGTTGGTAGGTATAGACTACCTGGTTGGGGACCGCGAGATGATAGCAACCGATGGTTAGAGACCTTGAATAACATGACTCAAAATCGTTTGTGTTCTCCCAAATTTTATCTTCTAAATTCTTCATGTCCTTTTTTTTCTCTTTCCGAATTCATTTCACTGAATTATACTAATTGAATAACATCTTCAAACCTTAATCCTTCCGATTACTGCTTATACTTTTACTCCTTTTGTCACTAGGATTTGATCGACAGTTGTATCTCTGTGCTAACGTGATATACGTACGTACGGAGTTCTACGTTGTTGCTGACTGACTGACTGACTGTATCCATTATAATCCTTGCAATACTTTAACAATCATGTACAAATTTCATAACAATCTGTTCCAACTAAGTAAAACTAATCTGTCTAGTTCTGTGTTATAAATAAAGAACTCTTATTTAAGATTAGAAGTTGATTGCATATCAGTTTATTGTATTGGTCAATGTTGTTGTTAGTTAATAGCAACAACGACGTTCACTATTCATTCTTTATTAAATTAATCTGTATATGTATGTTTCGTAGGATTTATTATGTTATCTCAATTTATATTTACCAGTAATGTTCAAAACATTGGTCACTTTTAGTAGTGAAATATTGTTATTGAATTAGAATTGAATAATTTGTAATGAAGAATGTTTATTATTTATGAAATTAGTTGCTAATCAATTTAATAGTATACGTAATTACTAGTCGGTTATGAATATGCAATAATACAAACTGACTGGTTGTTAACTCCTTATGAGACTAAATTATTGACATAAACTCTCGATCGGTTTTAAATTTAAAAAAAACAAGACAATTACCCAGTTGAATAAGTTTTTCATCTAACAAAGTAACCTGTTTATATATATATATATATATATATATATATATATATATATATATTATTCTGAATAGATTGTTATTGCTATGTTACTCTTTTCTCCTTAATAGAATCTTTGGAATGCATTTTGAAAACCACCAATCAAGCTAGTCTTTCTGAATCGTCGTGTATACCACATGGATTAGAAATTAATGTTTGGCCAGTTGTTCTTAATTTTCTTCATACACTTATTTCTATAAGAAATACAGTAAGAAAGGTTCTATCCTCAGGCTCCATAACTGATTCTTTATGCAAGAAACGGTTATACGAAGCATGTGATCGTTTTCGTGATATTGATCTTGTCAATGCTGGAATTCGGCTTCAGGATCGAGCTACAGCAATTGATCTTAGTCGTGGTTTAGATATTTCACCTTTTATTGGATTGGTTGATAAGAAATTTTTGATAAGCGGGCATTCAGAAAGTAAAACAAAGGTAATTATGAAAAGTCACGTACTATTACTGTTTATTTAAGCTTGCTAGTTTTGTTTACTTAAAAATTTCAGATTCTTCTCATATGTTCGTTCATACATTGTTCAGTTCAACTGTTTTAATTCATTAGTTGATAAACGTACCAAGTGTGAGATATGTTGAGATTAGATATACACTTTCATGTAGAAGGTAAATTAATCAGTGTGCTTTTAGTGTTGCATCAACTGAACATGTACTACACTACCCTATTTAATGCTTGAGTTGATATTAGTTGTTGATTGACATACTTACTTACCTACTTACACCTGTTACCCCTCGTGAAGGAGCATAGGCCTCTCACCAACATTCTCCATCCAACTCTGTCCTAGGAAATCCTTTCAAGTTGCTATTCATCCTATTCATGTCTGTTTCCAATTCTCGATACAGTGTGTTCTTTTGCCTTACGCTTCCCCTTTTCCCTTCTGGATTCCAAGTTAGCGCTTGCTTCGTGATGCAGTTTAATGAATTCCTCAATGTGCGCTGTTCACTTCCAACGTCTTTTACTAATTTCCTCTTCAACTAGGAACCGGTTTGTTCTCTCCTACAGTAGGCTGTTGCTGATGGTATACAGCCAACGGACATTCAGTATCTTCTATAAACAATTTATAAATACTTTTACCTTTTTGATGATGGTTGTGGTAGTTCTCCAAGTTTCAGCTCCGTACAGTAGAACTGTCTTGACGTTCGTATTGAATGTTATGATTCCGATGTTGACTGACAGTTGTTTTGAGTCCCATATGCTCTTCAACTGTAGGAATGTTGTCCGTGTTTTGCCAATCCTCTCCCTCACGTCTGCATCAGACTCCACGTTCATCGATGATGCTTCGCATGTACCTGAACGGTTCCACCTCTTCCAGAGTCTCTCCATCAAGTGAGATTGGATTGTTCTCTGTGTTGTAGTTGAGGATGTCGCTTTTTCCCTTGTATATGTTGAGGTCCACTGATGCAGAGGTTGCTGCTACACTATTTGCCTTCCACTGGATTTGTTCGTGTGTATGGGATAGAAGGGCCAGCTCATCTGGGAATTCGGAATCGTCTAGCTGCATCCAAGCTGTCCATTGCATCTCGTACTTCCCCTCAGATATGGAGGTCTTCATAATCCAGTCAACTATCAGAAGATAGAGAAAGGAGGAGAGTAAGCAGCCTTGTATGACTCCGATCCTTACTTGGAATGCGTCTGTCAGCTGTCCGTTGATTGATATAGAATCGAAATAATTGGAGAATGTGTTTATATGAATTAAGTTGTCATTGTACTAGAGTTGTGTTTTCCCTATTATTTCATCTTCTCTCTTCCACGATCAACGACAGGTCATTTATCCAATTATTCTGTAAATTATTCGTTTCCCTCCTTTGATGATGTAACACAGGCTTTCTGGTCTCGTCCTCTGAGTTAACTTCTCAATGTCTTATTATTATTTAACGGATTTATCCAAAAACAAAAGAACTCTGTTTCACTTTCTCGCATTCTTTTATCTTCTAGAATGTATTAGTACCCACTGAATTCATTTAAATTATTCACTTATGCCCAACGACCGACTGCCTCGACGTGCGATGTTCAGTGGTATAGGAGTAGGTTGGAAGAAAGCTAGGGGCGGCCAGACCAAAACATGGCACAAGTCCATGAAGTCACTGACAAGTGGTCTGAGCCATGTTGGTAGGTGTAGACTACCTGGTTGGGGACCACGAGATGGTAGCAACCGATGGTTAGAGACCCTGAATGACATGGCTCAAAATCGTTTGCAATGGCGCAGGTGCATCTACTCTTTGTGTTTTCCCAAATTTTGATCTCCTTATTTCTCCTTGTCTCTTTTTTTCCCTCTCAAATTTATTTCACTGTATTATACTATTTAAGTAACATCTCCAAACACTAATCTTCCCGATTACTGCTTATACTCTTATTACCTCTACCACTACGGGATTTGAGTCGACCACTGCATCTCTATGCTAATGTGGTGTGGCAACTCGAACTGATGTACGTACGTACGAAGTTCTACGTTGTTACTGACTGACTGACTGAAATTATTCACTGTATTTCAAGTGAATTAAATCTCTACCAATTTATGTTTAACCGAGAATCATTGATATGTAATTTACATTATAGTGGTTAATTTAACAGTATCCTAGGTCATTAAAAAAGTCTTTTATCATGTTACTAACTTTTTACGCTTTTTAATCTTCCCACATTCTATTGTTTTGTTTATATACGTTTCCAGATTGATATTACATCTACTTATGTCTCTTATATAGGTTTTATTTTAGCATGATTTTTTGTCATTTCATTGGTCTTTCATTCGTTAAAAGACCATATTATTTAGGTTTCAATATGCATTTCATAGTTTTTAATTAGGCATAGGATAATTGATATGTTTTCTGTTTGTCCCATTAATTTTTGCACTGTACTATACTACTGGATTATGTAAACAAATGACGGTTTATATGCTTTATATAGATTTCATAAATCCTACTATTAAACTACCATTAAGCTTTTTCTTTGTAATTTAAATCTTTGCACTTACACACTAAAAATATTCCATGGACAAACAATCCGTATATTCCTCTTAATAATCTTTGCTTTTCCATTATCAGCACCTTGTGTTTTATTCACTGATGGACCAAATATAAAGATTAGTTGTATCTTATCATTATCTTTTGAACAGATAATAAACACTCCGTTCTCCCGCTTCGGTATTTCGTACTTTAGATCAAGCACACTTGAAGTATTGTGATTGTTGTATTATAGGATTATAAAACATTAGGAAAATCTAAGAAAAATTCACTTACATTCACACCATAAAATTTACTTATCGCAATACATGTAACTTAATAAAGGAACAAATACATTTATTTATTTTAACGCATAGATATTGGTACAAGGAGGCACCAAATACATATGCGCCACACAAATCTCATCCGATATGTGTGAGGGCTGTGCTATTGCCTAGGTGCCCAAACTAAACCAAGTGGTTTTCTTAGGGGGCCACTCCCCGAGCATTCGACCTGAAGGTCTGATCCACAAGGCAGTGGAGCATCGTAAGGAGATTCAGTCCCATGGAAGCCGGTGACCAACAATTGGTTCATACGTCATTTGTTCCTTCAGGATACTGGAGCCCATGTACATTATCGATTTGGAATCCGGTTAAAGCGCCGGACATTCGCTTTTCGTCCTCTCATTTTCGTAAACAACACCCCCGCCACGAGAAGGCAGTGATTAGGACTTCCCTGGCAGAGGCTATATACGCGTGGCTATGTGAGAGCATTTGGAGAGGGAGAGCGGACTCTCCCCACTCTCGGCCGTACCAGGGCATTTGGGGGCTAATAAAAGAACAGTTTATCATTCACTAACTTAGGGCATAGTTTGTTCGATTTTATTGTCATAAAACTGACCAGTTTCAGTGACTAACTATCAGTAAATTGCTCTCTGTTTTATATTTTCCTCGTTTAGCGTGTTGAAACAAAAGTTATAAAAGAAAGTGTTAAGGAAGAGACTGGACGTATACCACCTTCGGAGCTTTTCCTATCTGAAGTTGATAAATATTCAAAATTCGATTCTAAGGTAAATACGGTTATTTGCCTATCTTTGATTAAAGTTGTTCAGAATATTACTAACTAGACTGAGAATTGTTACTCATGTGAGCAAGTGCATTTCTGTATAAAACCATCCGATCCCTACTTTAATACTAAACTTTACGCTCATTTTGTATCTGTATGTGCTTGCACAAATTTGTTAGGCTTCATAATAATTTGTTTTTTTGCTCAATCCAATCAGTTTTGCACACATATACTACTCTAATGTGTATCCACTAATTAAATTATTCCTTTGAGTTTCATATCATTTGTCGATATGAGTTTGTGAAGATTGTTAAATGTTACTGAGATTATAAACCGATCTGGGTTAGACAATCATTTTAAATCAGTAAGCTCTGAACAGCTGTTTCGTCTTTAAATGACGTTCTTCAGGAATGGAAATGTACGATCTCGTCACTGCGAATCGAACCCAGGAATTAGATTTATGTTTTTCGTCACGAAATAACATCAGGTATAATGCCAATATGGTATTTAACTAAGTGAGTTAATGAACTTCGCGCTAAAATCCATGACCTCCCATCTTAAAACTGATTGATTCGTCCATAAATTATAGTCTCGCCTAAATACTTATCAGTTACACTATCTTCATGCTTTTTTTTTCAATATCATAAGTTTCCTAAGTTTAATTTTTTATTTATGAAAAACTTCAGTTTACATGATCTGTTTTATTCACTTGAATTTTAATGAATATAGGGTATACCTACACATGATGCATCAGGAAATGAATTATCTAAAAGTGCTTTGAAAAAATTACAGAAATTATATATTGCACAAGAGAAACGTTATGCAGCATTTTTAAAAAGTAAAGAATAATGTAACCGTTTAAAACAAGTAAAACTTAGTCACTTTTTGTACTAACCGTGTTTGGTGTGTTGCTCCGCTTCTCCCTGTTCTCACTTCATTCTTCGAAAATATATTGTTCCATCTTCATTGAATGTGTATATTCAGTTGTGGATGATGTTTGTTTTCGATATATTTGAGGATTTCAATGTAGTTTTCATTTTGATTTTTTTTTATCTTTGAGATGGATATTTTGTATGTTGTTTTTTAGTTAACAGTTTTTAAAAATAAAACCAATTTAGGGGATTCTGTTTACACTTTATGTATCTACATTACAATCAAGATGCTATTCGTTGGTATATATTGGTGCTTTGATATATTATTAGTTTCCATATAAATGTCATTGTTCAAAGTATAAAATGTGTTTTGTTTTCTTCATTTAATATTAATAATGGTTATATATGTATATTTGTGTAAGGAAATGACAAGCGTATTAAGACAAAGTAATTAAGAAGAAAACAGTTGATGATGTTGAATTGATTATTTCAATCTGAAAGCAAGTGAATGAAAACAAAATACCAATTCAATCATTATTTACAATATATCAATCTTATTCCCTTTAAAATACTATCTATTGGTGGTAATATATTTGTCCGACCTATCTGTGCTTCCATTTTTCTAAAAAAGCCTTAGACATCCTCAGAAATTAGACTGAATATTGTACTCATGGTGACTCTTCCAACCAAACGTAGTCGGTGAAGTTGGTAGACCCTTCTTGAGAAGAGGTGTACATTGAAGCATAGCACGACTATTATTTCCCGCTGATCATTGGTATACTACATAATAGTGATTGATTATACCTTTTCGTATTGGAAGCATCTTCTTACATCCATTGCATGGGGAATTCTGTACTTTCTATGTTTCGTTTTGTACGTTGTGTTGTGTTTCGAGTATTAGTGTTCATATGGTTTGTCATTTGGATATTTTAAATGTCTCGTGTGTGTTAGGTAGCATAATCGGAAATGTTGCTTTAGTCATCCTGCAGCCTTATACGTCTTGTTGCGATCAGCTAGCGGAGATTTGTGTTGTTCCGTTTATATGGTGATTGTGGTATTTAATTTGTGATCGTTTCTGAAATGTCTGTTTATCTCCTAGACTGTAGCAAATAGTCGGTGACGATATTTATTTATACACTTGTGTATGAGTTGTCTTTGCCTGATTGGTTTAGGTTTGTGTTCTTCATTTTTGTCTATTTTGAATTTACTGAGGTTCTTCATCCAGCATGTTTGTAGTTTGCCTCGCACTTCTTCAATGTCGAGACTAAGTTGTTTCGGTCAGTTTATTGTGTTTAGGTCACTTATTCGGCTTAAGACCTCATCATTAGGTTATTTGATCTTCTGTGTGCAGCATACCACAGGTTAAAGCTGTTCTACAGCACAATCGTATCTACATTTGGTAATGCTATTTTATTGTGCAGTTGATCTGTCGTCCTTTTGTCGGTCGTTTAGACCCAAGATCATACTTCTTGGTGTGTTTAGGACTGCTTCTAACCTGATCCGGTTCTTTTTTTCTTAGTGCTACGAACTCAAACCGATAGGTTAGTATTGGGATTATCGGAAAATTCGCCGTATTGTCATTTTCGTCACTGTTTTCGACTGTTCCTAGCAAACGAGGAAACTTTTTTCAGATGATGCAACATTTGGCCTTTTTTAGCCGCATGTCTTTAGATAGAATTATATGCTCAGGTGACTTTACCAAATTTAGTTGCTCAATAATCATCCCGATATTCAAGCGGATCGGAAGGCACATCTTTAGTTCTTTGGTCAAAAAAGAAGATTGAATTTCGTTAACAACCGATAAACCTATAAACTCAGTTCATTTGCTCACTGAACAGATCTAACCTTATCAAAATGACAAACAGGCTTTCATAAATATAACTTTAAATTTTTTCCCTGGATAGGAGAATACATTCATTTTAACAGTTTTGCACCCCTCCCACCAAATGATTGATTCGTAGTTAAATGCCTCTATCTTAAAATGCAACTTATTAGTTCTATCGCTTCAGAATGAGTTTTGTGGAGATTTTAGTAAATTTCACAGGTTGAAATCATGAGTCAGTTGAAGCTAGACCACCATTGAAAACCTGGAAGCACTGGACGGCCGTTTCGTCCTAGTATGGGACTCCTCAGCACTGCGCATCCACGAACCCGCCTCCCACGGGATTCGAACCCAGGACCTGCTGGCTTCCCGCGCGAGCACTAGACCACTGAGCCGGCATCCAACAGTGTTAATGTCTAACTAGGACGAAACGGCCGTCCAGTGCTTCCAGGTTTTCAATGGTGGTCTAGCTTCAACTGACTCATGATTTCAACCTGTGAAATTCTATCGCTTCATTAATTGATAGTCTATGGAAACTGAAGGATACTTCGAATCAAAAAGATTACCGTCCAATTTATTAATGAGGTCCAAACGTGATTTAATCGGAATTATGTAACTAGATATCAACAACAGAAGTGGATTCTTAAAGGATGTACATTCCTAGTTATCTGTATGAGGTTGGCTGAAAAGATGTTATTAAATCTATTGCTATGTAAGCTCAACAGTACTGGCAGCCAAATCAACAGTAATTTCAAACAATGGCTTGATCAGTAAGTTCATGTAAATTAAGCGTAATCCTTGGAGCTATTTACTAAGTCTATAGTTTACAACTAGGTTTGAAAATTATCAATAATCAACTTTACAAACCTTACATTTTGACATGCCGTTTTCTTACTAGTCAGTTATAATCAGCTTAGAGGCTATCATGAATATGGATTGGGCCAAGTGGCTATATCACATTAGGGCGACGAGATAAAATTGAAAAAATTAATGGTAAGGAAAGCGAAATAATATGGCGGCAATCATTGTGAGGAAGGCAAAGCGTTCAGAATGTTGTTCGAAAAAACATTTAAGACTGATGTGTGAAAGAATATTGCAGCTCGATGTCTAAAGTAAGACAAAATGTGAATGCACCCATGGCGTCATAATCGACTGTAAGCCATATCACGCGAGGTCTCCAACCGCTGACTCCTGCTATCTCACTGGCGCCAACCAGGTGGTCTGTACCTACCAGTAAATCTCAGACCAATATTCAGTAACTTTATAGAGTGATGCCGCGTTTCGGTTTGATTGTGTAATAGTTTATAAAAGTTGGGAATAATTCATTAAAAAGTACGAGTTTTTCAGTTCTCTATTTGATGGAAGCTATAAAAAACGACTATGTAATAAACCAATAGATTTTTTCACATTAGATATATCTGATTATTTCGATTGAAAACGTAAGCACGATACTTTTAGATGCTATCTCTATAATTACGTTTTTTTCGGCTCCGTACTTATCTGATTATTTCAGTATACTCTTTCCCATAGTATAGACCTTACATCTAATCTTATGGCCATCATTATTACATTATGGCCATTTTTGTAGTAATTACTATCAGTGTTTTTTAAGTAGAATTGTTCTATTTTCTACTGTGGTTTTCATTCTTTTGACTACATCTAGTCTATTAGTTATCGTAACCTAGTCTTTTCAAATTAATGGGGATGAAACATATAAAACGTTCTTCATTGGCATGACGTAATACTAAGATCTAACTGACAACTGCCCTACAATCGGTGCTAATCTCGTAAATAGTTTCATCCTTTAAGTTTATACTCATAAAATCTTGTACCTTGTGGTACCATATATATTCTTTTCATATTGAATTTTTCTGTGTTTATGTTTAGAATGCAATTTGTTACTAAACATTTGATGACTTTAATCCTTGGTAATTAATTTGTCTCTCAACAGAACAATTGCAGATCCTTATTAATTGGTATATATGCATCCCGTACGGATCGCCTTGAAATAGGTATTATGAAAAGTTTATATATAATAGATGGAATGTGGCTAGTGGTGAAATCCATGATGGGCGTTCCTCCCTATTTGTTGTTTGTCAACCAAATATGCCTACATCCCGGAATTGATGTCGAATTCGGAATTCAAACCCAGTTGTTTTTGCCGCAAACGCCAACGCGTTATCCACTTAGCAACCGAGTCGATATAGTCACTCACTTGAGCGATGGGCATGGGTTTTAATTCCATTTGTAATCAACAACGAGATAATCAGAACCATTACAAATTAAATATGAATTCATACCTTTTGCACAAGTGAGGGCTACGTCGACTCAGTGGTTAGTTAGATAACTCGTCGGCATTTGATATTTAAGGCATTGGGTTCGAACCTCGGGATCGAAGTCAATCCTGCGATCTAAGTACTTTTAGATGGTGAGTCAAAAACAGGACGAGACTAATACCCCGAATTCCGTTACTGACCTCATTTCATCTAATTTATATAAATGATCGATACCAAAAGAATGACATCAAGGAACCCGGAATTCCATGGAAAGATTTCCTTTGAAACTATAAACACTAAATGTTTAATTCCGAAATGAAGAAAAAATAATACAGTGGATTAATTACGGCAACTTGATAAAAGATGTCTCGCTTAGTAACATAAGGTGCACAATACAACAAAAGTTTTGCATTTCAACAGAATTTCCGTAAATAATGGAGGAGTGTCAAACAGTCAATAAATTAACTATCCATCATAGCATTGAAAAAATAATCTAATCGCGATAGATATGTTTCGTCCTATTAATTGGATTCTGAATTATTGAGTAGTAATTCAGTAAAATTATATCTGAAAAATTATAGGTGAAACGATCAAGGGAATACGGAAAATAATTAAGGTAGTGAATATGAGCACGAACTATTTCAAACACCGAAGTTTTAGAAATGAAAATAAAAGGTCGAAGGTCAAGAGCTCAAGGTAAGTGTGAATTCGAAGTCTAATAGCTCATATCATCCCTCCATTTCGCGTCTGTTTGGAATGTAGCACGATAACCCTATCCAATCCCTTTGGATATGGTTCCGATCTTTGAAGGAATCATGGGCGCTCGCTGGTGAGTTTTAAAATAGAACGAAAAAGCCGATTGGTATTTCCTGGTCTTCAATGATATTCCAGATGATGTCAGCCCTTGACAAATACTATCCTAATAGACTTGGTTTTAGAAAGTAAGTATTAAGGCATGTTAATATAACTCATTGGATAACTTGTTCTGATAACTTTAGCAAAATGTACCAAAGCTAACAAAAGTAAACAAAAGGTTATAATGAACAAAATAAACATCAAAAATGGGTCAAATTACGAAGTGAAGAAGATTCCATAAAGTCTTGTAAATCACAAAATTACATCAAAGTTATAGTCTTATGTATTTTGCAGACAATACAAAGTAATAAAGGAAACTAAATATTAACACTTTCTGAAGACCAAACATACTGAAATAAATAATGTCGCTAAACTAATGTGTCGAGTTAAGCACATTGCTATAATA